ATTTAACACCATACATCTCTGCCAGGAGGGAGAACTAAAACAGACTGAACGCTTTACTCCAACTTGGTAAAAGTCTATTTTTTTATTCATTAAAGAAAAGATTTAAGTTAAAGAACAAAAATCCACTACTGACAAAAACAGCAATTCTAACATCAAACTGGTCCGATTTTGTAATATTTGATCTAACTTCAGTTAAGTTTCTTCTTCTAATGATTTATCAATTTATCAATTTATTAATTTATTTCAACTGAAATGACCTAAAGTTGTGTCTCAGAATTATAGAGTTAAAAAGTCAAACGGCTCCTTCAAAGTTTACAAAAGTCTTTTTTTTTCCTTCAGATTTCGTTTGCAGTGATGGATTTTTATTCAAGCCCCTGGAGGTTTGTCTCTGGGGCTTCGTATGACCCGACGGAGCTCACTGATGTGCTAAAATCCAGATTTTGACAGAGTCACTGGATACAGACAGACAGAAAATACTTCAACTAGAAAAAAAAAGAATATATAATATAAAAAGCAGAYGGAGATGATTATCTGCACAAATCTGATTTATCATCTGATGAACTCCAAGCAGAGTTCACTAAATATTCCTTATTACTTTATTTAGATTCTTCCTCAACTTTTGTCATCATCCTCTAAACTTTCAGCCGTTTTCARTGTTTATACTTAAACAAAAGAAACCTCAGCTATGTGGGTGAGCTCTTTCACCTTTTGCATATTTTGTCAGTGTGAAAAGCCTCTTAAACAGCCTGTTAACATATATAAAAAAATCTCCCTGGAGCTGTTTGTTCATGTTTGAACACCTCCCGTCCCTCCCTCRTGGAGGCATTAGCACCTAGAGGGGTCAAACCGCAAACTCCACACCCGGGAAAATGTAACACTCGAAAGATGGAGGATGCACTTTCAACCTCACTTTGAGCCGATGACAGGATGTCAGCGGAGACGAGGCTGAGCTGAAAGCTACAAATCGTCACATGAAGCTTTGAATGGGCTTCAGCAGCTGASGTTTCCACCTGAACGACCTCTGGAAACATGTTTGACTGTGAAAAAGCTGAATTAATGAATGAATTTACTGATGCTGAGCTTTGAGTTGTAACTTATTAAACTGCAGCTTAAATCTCAGCATCGTTAACACAAATTAATCCTTATTAACTGTCAAAACTGGGATGACCTTTGCTGTTYGTGAGCTTCTTTGATTTTATTTTTTCTTTAAATGAACTGATGTGCTTCTACAGGCTCAACCACCTGAATGTCAAACTTTATCCTGCCTGGTGAAAAAATACAATTCATTTTCTATTTGAGGTGAGCTAACAGTCACTCAGCTGGGTCAGAGCTGCAGACACACCATTCATGAGTCAAACAAAACTGTTCCTGTGTGTTTGTGGGACAAAAAGTCAAAAGATGAGATGTTTTTTTAAAAAGGTTTTAACTTTTAAAAATGAACTTAAAATAATGCATCTTAGTCTGCATTAATTTAAACACTGAAAATACAGAAAACAGTCACTTCTGCAGGTTTAAAACTTGAGTAAAAACAATTTTATTTTTTATTTACCTTTTGAGGAGTCACAGAGCAGCAGAAAGTTTCTGCTTGCTTARTAAAAAGCTTGTGGTTTTAATTTGGTGTAATAATTGGGTTATTGTTTTTAAATATAGGAAATGAATGATTTGCTGTAGCTGAGAAACAAACCTATAAGCCATCGTTATTATTGTTACTGTCGATGCAAACGTCACGGTTAGTCACAATAAAAGGTGAMACTCCGACATCATAGTTTCAAAAGGGTTGTCCAAACAAACAAACAAAAAATGCCAGGGTAGTATTTCCAGATTGATTATACTTTGAAACTTACTTGGAAAAAATACCATTTAGGTCACATGTGTCAAACTCAAGGYCCATGGGCCAAATGTGGCCCACCACTGTATTTTATGTGGCCCATGAGAGCTTGAAAGATTTATTAATGTCCTAATATAAGCTGCTTTAAAGCCGGCATTGACCATGAACTACATTTCCCATAATGCATGTTGATTATTTTACCCACAAAATGACATATCCGGACACTCCCCCCAACGATTAACACTGTCAGCCCTGATATTAGTGGACAAATAGACATTCAATTTCTAAAGATTTACAATGTTTTTGTTCATAATCAGCATTTTTGTTGTTGCTGCTCATTAACTCAAAATGACGACATTCCACCACGGGTGGAGGTGACCAGGGTTCAACATTTTCCCGTGTAAAACCCACATTTAGTTGAAATTTCTCCAGAATGCCAAACTAGTGGGAATTCCCTGTCGGAAAGTGGGAGAGTTCAAATTCCAAGACAGCAGCTACTCACCACAACTCAACAGGGACTAAACTCTCTTACTTTACTTTTAATAGTATTTCTGTATTTATTTCACATTAGTTGTGTACACATTTGTACATGTAGTACTTTTCGGTATTTATAAGAGGACGTGCTAAAACACTGTTTCTACACAGGAAATACCACGTAGAGCTCAGTTATTGTTTGTTAGCTGTGYTCAGTTGCAGCAACGAGAYGAGGAACRTAAAAACATTCACCTGTGGACACAACCTAAACATGCTGTTCATCAGTTTGAAATGTTTGTGACAGTTTTAAGGAACTTAAACGTAAAAAAATAAACCTTCACATTAATTCCAGCATAACACAGCTGGTTTTAGTTCAGTTTGACCTCTTCGGCTGTGACAAGCATGACTCCAAAATGCAGCGTAATGTTGGCTGTAGAGTTCTAAAGTCGTAGATGTGAGGCATTAATATTCATGCTGTTACCTCTCTGCTGGTCGCTGAAGTAACTGAAATATGTGGGGCAGGTTATGGTTACCACTTCTCCCACTCTGGCTGAAGGCCAGCAGGCGATGATGTCCCACATCCCCTGACAATCTGCCAAAGGAAAAAAAAAGGTCAACAACACTACCATCAGTCACGCTACGACACACACGCATACACACGGACGAAACGAAGCTGTGTTTAAACGCGACACTTAGTGATTGCTGTGCAAACGCTGCACGGTTCCAGTCCTGCACGTGTTCATCTCACAGCTTCACAAACAGGAGGTTGGATTAAATTTGACTTAAAACAAAAGTTTAATTCTTTAAGACGTGGTTTTAAATCTGTGCCRGAATCTCAAATGTTATTCTGTGGCACGGTTAAAGCTCAAATAATAATAAACACTTCACTGTCTGTTCTGTTTTAAGGAAACCAAAGACGGGCTGAAAAAGGCTTCACTAAAGCGCATTTTCTGCTAATTCACTTATTCAGGATGTGACTTCAGAGCTAAACTTCAGCTAACCTTCCTGCTCAGGAAGCAGATACTGGAGAAAAAATGAGGGTCGTTGCAGAGATAAGAGCAGTGTTCCCATGAGAGCTATGCATATACGTTCATTTAAAGCAAAGTGCAGCATGTGTATGAGTGCAGGAACTGCTTTCTGCTAAGATGAAAGGAAACAAGCTGGGCACTGATGGACTCATACGACTGAAAACAATTTAGACTCATTTGATGGACCACCTGAATGCTCACCAATGCACTTTGACTGGTTACACGTTGATCCATCAAAAACTCTCTGAATCCAGTACATTTAGAGGTCGACCCGCTGGTTCTGCTTCAGCCTCACCAGAGCAAATGTAAGGCAGAAACACCTGCGTTGTTACACTTGACACTACTGGATGGTTTGTTCRTTTTTTACATTTATTTTTAATATACATATTAGAGATCGGGAGATAACGGTATATTTACCAACTCCAGAGCACATGTGTCAAACTTGAGGCCAAGTATGGCCTGTGAGAGCTTCAAGGATGTATTAAACATCATGCAAAATCCACTTCATGCGTGAAATGACTCGTTTGGATTTAAAGGACCAGTATAAAAAACAGCTGCTTTGAGAGGCACTGCAGAAAAGGGAAGAAAKAGGGGCTTGTGGAATTACAGTAAGGAGGAGTTCAGACCAAAGCRTTGCRGTTCCACTTTAASGSGCTGTCACACTATGACGCTTTGGACAACTTATGCATTTTTTTTCCAACACGCTGGCACACGCTGAGGAAGAGGAAAAACAAAGCATCAACACCTTCTTTTGGACGTGATCATACCGTGTTCCTAACGACTTGAACAGATATAAAACCTATGAGTAAAGTGTCCCTACCTTAAACATAATGTGTACAAGCTTATTATAAYGTGTTTGGACTTCTGTATGTGCAACATTAGTGGAACTTCTGCAGAATCTCTGCGCAGCGTGATGGAGGAAGATGAGACGTCTGCAGCAGTCACACAGCGACGCACAGCATCAGCTTATGAAAATATCAACAACAYGTTGATGGAAGTTAGGCATAATTTTAGGATAACTTACCAACGTGTTGAAGAGGGCGTACGTTGTCATACAGAGATCCCAGCGCAGAATTTTGAACATGCTCTAAATTTTGTGGAACGGTTGGTGATCAGTTTTATGCACGTTTCAGGTCTGTTCCATGTCTGTTTTATATATGTTCACACATGTTACATGAACGTTGCTCATTTGTGGACATTTGTTAGAAATAATTATGAAGTAGACACGTAACTGCTGTCAGAATGTGTGGGCGTGTTCTTCGATGGTTGACAGACAGCTGTCAACATGTCGGGGAAGAAGTCAGAGAACGGGCCTCATAAAAAAACAAGAAGTCTGTCAGACTGAGTTTTAAAATATAAAAAAGTATTAGCAGAGAGCAAAACAAAGTTGGCAGATATTTTTAAAGCAGCTGTCAGAAAAGGTGATCCACAGAAATATTGTCGCGCTCCACTTGAGAGGACAAGGTCGGCGCAGGAGACAAAGCTTTTTTTCTGTTTGGCGTTCAGAGGAGCAGGACGTGCTTTCGCTCTCTCTGCCCC